GCCAGCCAGCCAGCCAGGCGGCCTGCTCCAGCTTGATGATTTGTGGATTTGTGATTGCTTCAGGCACATTTTTGACCCCCGTCGTGGAAAATATATCGCACATCTAGATTTGCAGTAAATTTTCCCCCAGCAGGTAACAAATAACTAGTGGAGTTGGGGGGGAGAGATATATCACCTGCATTTCTTCACCATGATTTCATTGCTCTGCCTGTTTAATGCCAGCTTCCACAGTTGCCGGCGTAAGGCGCTCTGAGCAATGTGTTTGGGGCATCAGGAAGCCGTGCTGAGGATTTGACAGGTGGCGTCCAAGGCTTTGAAGCAATGCTCCAGCTCCCAGAGGAAATCAGCTATTGGAAGCGGTGCCTTGTGGATGACTCACAAAGCCGCCGTCCTGCCACTTGTGGCCACTCCAGGATCTGTGCCACTTTTCCTAGCAGACTTTTGCTGCCGTGAACACCCTGGCAAAAGCTCAAGCATGGTAGCTACAGTGCACTCGCCCCACCTAGCGCTGCCCTTGGCAGGTGAGGTTGGACACGTTACCCCTCACTTCCTATCCTGAACTCTTCCGCACGACTTGTAGGCACTCCCGCATTCCTGTCCGGCTGCGTTATGCCTCTCGAGCGTGCATTCCACTTGGGCCACGGAGTATTTCCTCTCTGAAGCAATCCGCTTGCTAAGCAGAGGTCAGCATTTGAAACAAGATCCCCCCAAACTTAAGAACTGCCCAGCGCCTGGGAGCGCCCTACAGAATTACAGCAGGTTTCGCCCCGCCGCCTTTACGCCTCGCACGAAAACACAGAAGGACGAGACTTCGTAAGCTCGATTCAGCAGTAGTTTTACCCCAGAGCAGCTATATGGACGTCAGCAGAGTTGCTTTGCTGTCCCTGAGACCTGCATCCAGCTCTCACTTTCTCTTCAGTTACCCACCCCTTAGAAAAATAATGCCTTGAAAAATCAAGGTTTTAGACTTTTTTTTTTAAGCCAGCTTTTGCCCCTGGTGGATTCATAACATTGAATTGTTCTGGTCCCCTTATGCTGCGTTGTGTGCATTTGGCCAGAGGGTAAAAAAAAAAAAAAGTAGTAGCTTATCACCGGATGATGTTACCTTTCAACTCTTCCTGCTCTGGCCTCAAGCAGAAACTCCCCTCCTTGTCCAGTTATGACCTTACTTGTCCCTCGTGGAGTATTGTTGCCAATCCACAGTCAAGACAAAAACAACCAGATGTCGATGCAAGAGATGAACATTCTGTTCCAAAGCTCTTTTTTATTACTATGATTATTATATTATAAACTACTGAAATTTATGGTTAGGATCTGGCATGTGGTATCTGTGCACTTGGTCCCGCGCCCTTCCTTCTCTGTTAAAAGGCTGAGATAGAGTCTCAGAAGGAGAAAAGAAAAAAAAAATCTCACGTTGCCAACTCGCAGATTATAAGGCCGAGCCTGCTTCCCTTGAAATCAATGGCAAAAGCCCCGCCGACTTCAATGGAAGCAGAAGCAAGCCATGCAGATCAGCATTTGCATTTCAAAGCAACCCAGCAATCATGTAACTTGTTGTTTCCAGTGGAAACAATTATCTCTGGAGCAGAAGAAATCTCTGCCTGGAATCCGGGACGTTTCCTAGTATTTTGGGTCTTCGTACACATACGAGCCCTCCCCGCATGACTGTATGCGCTTAAGTCTCAGCTTTGGCGAGAAGGCACAAGGGTGGAGCTCCCTCTACCAGGCATCTTGCTCACTTCCAAAACGCGGGGTAATTGCCTTGCCAGGCTTTCCCCACCCCGCCTCGCTTTTGCTTGCACAGCTCATTGGAAAGGCACAGCTGAGCAGCATGGCTTGCTGCACTTCTGCCCAGGGCAGCCATCAGAGGACACACACATGCACATGCACACAATATTGGGGGGGGGTCAGGGGTCAGGGATGATCTTGTGCCATTCACTGTGGACAGACTTTAGTGGCACCAGCACCTGAGCCCAGATCTTCTGGTTCTTGCAGCACTTCCCTAAGTTCAAGTGCGCTGGATGCACAGTTAAGCAGTTCTGGTTGGCAGCAGTGCACATGCAGAATCATAGAAAATGAGGGCTGGAAGGGTCCTCAAGAGATCATTCAGCCCAACCCTCTGCTCAAAGCAGGACCATCCCCAACTACATCATCCCAGCCAAGGCTTTGCCTAGCCGGTCCTTAAAAACCTCCAAGGATGGAGCTTCCACCACCTCTCTGGATATGTCCTTGCTCATTCATGACAATGGGCCAGGTCCTTTCCTCAAGCTCTTCACCCAGAAGTGGGGCTCTGCTCTCAACTCTTTCCTGCTTCTCTGTGGTAGGCACCAGCTTTTGAAGGGTGCAGGACTCTTGCAGCTAGGTGGAAGGATCTAACCACGCAGATCAAGCCAGCGGGCGCTGGGGACTCTGCCAAGAGCTGCAAATTGCACAGATCTCTAGGGATTCCCCCGCATTAGAGTTAAACCCTGCCCCACTGGTGAACCGTCCAAGAGCAGGGAAACCCTTGCTGAGTTTTCTCCTCCCTCCCGTTCTACCAGGGAAAGGGCAATTTGGCCCATACTAGGGATCTCCAGAGCACTTCACTGATCTGCACCACCCTCCACAGAGGGAGGCAGCTATCGCTGCCAGTATTTTATTGGCAGGACAAACAAGAGCAGGTTTAAGCGGTAACCCCAAAGCCGAGCCAGAGATAGGACCAGAAGTCCCTCTAGGAAAGACGTGTTTCAGGAACTGCTCCAGATCAAGGCTTGTATTTGATATAGAGAGGAGTCCAAACCAAAGCCTGAGATCCCAAACCCCCTGAGCTTTGTGGCTGGGGCTTGCTGCCAACCCTAATTAGCAGCACAAATACACAATCACTGCACACATCAATCACGAGACTCTTGGCCCTGCCCTACCATGAACTGCCCCCTTGGTCTCAGGTCTGATATATGAGACGTGCACCTGTCTTGGAGATGTTTTTCTTGTATAAACCGGTGGCTTTAAACCACCCCTGCCTACCTTGCTCTCCATAATTGCTCACACACTCTCTCTCTTTCTGCTGTGCCTTGTCCAAGCCAGGTATTAGGCTCCAGCACAAACCACTCATCAAAAATGCAACACAAAGTGGAAGTGACCCCTGACACCAGCTTAAAATCAGACTAGATGAGCCTAAAACCAGGAAACTGCTTCCCCCCCAACACCCTCTCCCAGCCCCCGGCCCCCTTAGCATGTAACAAATGAAAAACATTTGGTTGCTATTACTGGTGATTATGATAAGCTATGCTAAAATATGGAGTGGGGGAATTTATCTTTATTTCCTGGGATAACCTTGATGAAAAATGCACTTCTCCGTCTTGATTTTCAATCACTTTAATGAATGCTGTCAGGCATTTATCTTTATTTGGCCTGGTGCTGGGTAACCGATCCGGGGCGGGGGCTGGGTGGAGGCAGCATTGGAGATTTGAATCTTATGCAGATAAGTTTATTAGCTGCTCTCAGATCGGTACCGGTGGAGCACAGTGAATGACGCGGCCCGTCAGTAATCTCATCGTACGCCTTCGGGGAGGAGACACACACTCCATCGCGGCGTGACCCGCGGCAAATGGTTTACGTCAGTTTTCATTACCGTTACAGCCTCCCTCTAATCATCCGGGGCCAAAGCCCAGGGGGTGGGTGTTTCCACAGCCGTCTGTGCTGGTCAGCTTCTAAATGAACATTAGTACTTGGAAAAGAAACAAGGGGAGAACAAACATCTCCTCTTTCCTCCCCTGGCCCTCCCTCCTGTAGGTGAAACTAAAATAATATTTAATTAAGAGGCCTTTTTTTTTTTTTTTTTTTTGGTGCATCTACAGAGATCTCAGAGGCTGGGGGAGGCGCGTGACTTGGCCAACAGATCCGGGCAAGTGCTCAGATTTTGTTTGAAGTGTTGTGTTACTCTTGCAAATAGGTGCCGTAGCTGCTATGAGGCCTTGCTAGTGAACCTCAGTCTCGGTGTACTATGTTGACCTACGAACCCAAGGAAAACCTGCTACGGCGCCAGCCGTGGAAAAAGACAGCCATGAAAAGTCAGCTTGAAAGAAGTCTTAGCAAAGAGAGAGTACCAGTGCCTCTCATCTGATCTGTTATAGCACGATCAGCATCAAAGGGAATAGGACTGGGACCATACAGAGGGCAGGCAATAGAAATATTTTTTGTCTGAATCGTAGTTTCTTAACTTATCGGGGCCCCAGCTGATGCTAATTGGCATTGCCGGAGCAAAGCCAACATGGCTATGTTGATTTTTATCAGCAGAGGATCAGGCCAAGAGCTCTAGATACGATGCGGATGAAAGACACAACACCCAACAATAATGATTATTACTCTGAACCAACCGTGTCAGCTTAGCTGGTCTGCAAAGCAACTCTCGCTATTCATGCTACATAAGTTTTGTGCGTGAAGAAGGAGATGAGGGCACGTCCCAACGGACCAGAGCAGAGCCCCACAGAAGAACAGCTCTGTTCAGTAAATTTTTTCCTTTTTTCCCCCTGTTCAGCTTCTTTCAGACACTTCGCTGAAACAGGTTGCAAATTATAAATCACTCAGGCAAGCTCCCTGCCTCCTCCTGTGCATACCCCGCTGGATACAGTGCTCCAGAAACCCGCTCCATTTTCTATTGTGTTTTTTTTTCCTTTAAAAAAAAAAAAACCCACTACTCACACAGTACAGCTCAATTTAACAGATGTTTGCTCATTTACGACAAAGTCCTGGATACAAGATGGGGCAACTTGTCTGGTTCTCAAACAAAAGCCACTATATGATATAGTTACAAAATCCCACACAGGCGCTAGGAGGAGGAAACAGAAAAATAACAAGAGGTGAGACACGACAAAGGCGACTTACTGTTACTGAATTATTTTGCAGAACATGTTGTAAATTATCTACATGCTGTGTCCCCCTAAATTGATCTAAAATCATTTTTTGACACATAAATCCCCCCCCCCCGTGCATAAAAGACATTTTAGTTCTGGTTGTAGATTTGGGTTTTGTCCTTGGTAGATGTGGGCACTCTCTGTGCTGCTGCTTCATATTTTGATGGGCATGACTAGTGTGCAAAAGGTGATCAGTGATACCTATTCACATACGTATCACTTTTCACCAGTAGACCCCAAAGTGCTGCACAGAGGAGATTAGAGTCAAAATCCCCAGTTAACAGCTACAGGCATCTGACCCAGGGCAAGGTGACGTTTAAAATCACCCAGCGCAAGAGCTGTGTCCAGGCCAATGCTCAACCATGTGGCACTCCCTAGAAAGAGGTACAATTTTGGTCCCATGGTTGGAGCAGCGCTCTAAAGCAGAAGCACACACACTTTCCTTTCTCAAACTCAGTCAGGCAGAAAGAAGAGGGCTGATTTCTCTGTATAGCAAAAGCAGCTCTTGTGAGGCAAAGTGGATTGTCTGGATCTTGTACAGACTAAGTCAAAGGTCCACCAGAGCCTGCTGGTCCATTGGGTTAAGACACATACATTTCTGGACTCAAGCGCCTACACAGGAGCTATGGGACTGGCTTTACATCCAGCTGGCTTTCACTCCTCACCCTGAATGGCCAGGTACTCATTTACAGCTCGTTCAACTGGGGACAAGCTCCAGTACCAATCTGAAATGAGCCTTTCCTCTCATGCTATAGCAGGAGGCCTTCAACTCTCTGCCAGCATGGCCCAGCATGGCAGAATCCAGTTACCCCATCACTAGGTTTCAGACCTGACCGAGAGGGAACGATTTGCAAGAACTGAGGAAGAGTCTAGTCCCCACCATCACTCAAACCAGACTCTCTGTTGAGCCTGACACCACCTCTCTTGGTATTTTGGGGGGTCTGGATACTTGGCCATGAGATCACTAGAGGCAATTGCATTGGGTCACTGGCAAAGCAGCAACCTTAAATGACAGCTTCTTACCAAACCCCTGAGTGGACAGAGAATACAACCAGGCAAAGAATATTTTAATTGAACCTCTGGATGTCAACCATACCCCTCAGCTAGTGAGGTAAGTGTGTGTACTGCTTGATGACCATTAGCCCGGACAGCAATGGCATACTTGTACATCAAGATGAACAAACAGTAGACCTTAGAGTCCCTTTGTGCAGTGCACAGTTCTCCCTCCTGAAGCAAACAAGGGTTTTGAGTGCAATTCAGTCATCACCAAACCTGAGTTAGGGCCCAGTTTCACTCCTGTGGGCAGTCCCATTGGAGTCAGTTGAATGCTCCTCTTGGTTGCAACCCCATTAAAAGCAGGGGTGGTGGGCTGGCATGACCGAGAGCAAAATTAGGCTGTTAGCTGCTGCTGCTCACAGAATACAATGACGTACTTGAGAAGGGGGGAGAATGGTAAGTAACAAATCCCACCCTTTGGTCCAAAACCTTCTTTCAGTTGGACCCCACGTAACTTAATTCACTCACACAACCTCAGCTAATTTCCATGAGACTGTACATGTGGAAGCAAGCAAAGACTGTAGCCCATACTCTGCTGCTTAGGGAATTGAGAATGTAATGAATGTTCCTGTCGTGAGGACAAATATGTCCAGCGTAGATTAGAGGTGAGAGGTCAAGAAAGCAGCCGGCCGTTTTCCATCAGGAGTGCTGCTCTGGTTCCTGTTAACATTATATGGAGCCAAATTCAACCCTGGTGCAACTCAGCTAGAGCCGGTAGCATTCCACCAAGAGGGAATTTAACCTGTTGCTCGGAAAGGAACCCAGTGATGATCTCTGGACTATATGTCGGCGCGGTGCACCAGAAAGGCTATTATGCACCTCATGGGAAGCTGAATTTGCTGACAGGCTTCTTTAAAAAGATAAAGTAGAGCAATGTAACATGAAAATGTCTTGCTCTTCATATCAGGATCTCTCCACTGAATACCAGAACTCCACGCACCATATATTAGCATCGCAGGCACAGGGAAAGCAGCACCAGAGGTGCAAAGCTTCTGCATGGGAGGGCACGCATTATCTTTGCTGTTGCTTAACGGCTGTAATTGGCTATGATATGCATGCACATGGAGTTGCACACGTGCTTTTATATATTTGCCATACTAACGCCTCCCAGAAATTGAGTGCAGTACCTGGAGCAGAGAACTCCTGTGCTCTTTGGACTGAGAAGTGACTAAACTTTTGATACAGTGACTTGAAACTTCCTGTTCACCCAAACCTCCTCCCCTCTTACTGATGTGAAGCTATTTTATATTTAAGCTCGTGGCTTTGCTCTATCTATGCATCTGGGCACTTTTAAGGGACTGGACAGCATGCCAGGTGCCAGTTGCGTGCGTGGGTAGCTCTAGGGTTTTGAAAAGCAGGGTGTAAATGGTGTGGCACTTGATCACATATAACACAACACCTATTTTTCTCCAGTTAAAGAGAAACTTGAAGTTTTACTAATAAGCTAGGGGGCTATGACTGTATTATTCAATTTAAGATCAAAGCCAGAACAAGTATAACTATTGAAATGTGCACTAATTTTCTAAATAATATATTACATTAAAAAAGCACAAGCTAGGCAAAAAATGGTCAAAAGATATTGTTTCATTAGTCCTGTAGTTATTATAGTTAAATGTACATCTCTTACTCAGATGCATAAGACAAATCTAGTCTTCTTGAGCATTTTGATTGTGCCTCCCATACTTCAGTGTCAGTCATTTCCACAAATAGGTTGATATGACCACACTTGAGTTCAGGTTTTTAGTTAGAGCTAAAAACAGTCTGCAGGGCTGTGAAATAGGAGAGCGATATTACCAGGAATGGCTAACAGGCAGCAAATTTGCAGAAGAAAGAATAGTTTGAATAGTAGAATGAGACCATTAAAAAAAGAGAGGGTCATTAACAACTCTGGAGTGAGGAGAGATTAGCAGGAATCAGATCATTAGGATTATAGTGAGTCATTAAGTCAGTCAAGTCCCTCACTGCTGCCTGAATAGAAATGCCACTGCCACTCCCAGGCAGTTGACTTTAGAGCAAGAATCAAAACTGGGATGCAAAAGCACCACTGCACCTCCCTTGGATCCACTCCTAGTCATGTATCTAGGGGTGAGTGACTGGCACACCAGTCCTGGACACCCAATTAGATGGGCTCAAGAATGGCAACTGCTGCTGCTGCCAGCCAAACTGCCATACCTGCAGCTGCCCCCACTGCCCCCACCCTTGCTGCAACCCAAGGTGCAGAGCCTGGTTGTTATGCCTTTGCCATGTGCCTCCACAGGATTCATCACTGGCAATCCCTTGCAGTTAAGGATGATTGTCTTCCATTTATTGCCTTATCTGTGGGTCCAAAGTTGTCTGAGAAGGCCGATCTGGGATCAAAAGGTTGTATTGCAACTCGGGCACATGTTTCAGAGGTGCTGGAGGACTGGAAGAGGGCCAACGTGGCTCCCATCTTCAAAAAAGGGAGGAAAGAGGACCCGGGGAACTACAGGCCAGTCAGCCTTACCTCGATCCTGGGCAAGCTGTTCGAGAAAATTATTCTGGCACGCATCCAGGAGGGGCCAGCAGGGAACGGCATGCTCAGGGGCAACCAGCACGGGTTCATCAGCGGCAGGTCCTGTCAGACCAACCTGGTGGCCTTTTACGACCAGGTCACTAAATCATTGGATGCAGGGGTGGCAGTGGATATAGTTTTCCTAGACTTCAGGAAGG